CAAGGAACTTAAATGCAGAGAAGCATTTATGAACCATGGCAGAACAGCCAGCCAATGAGCTAAGGAGAAGAAAAAGCTTTAGAATAAATGAAGATTTCCAGACTTGGGAAAAAATACTATTAGAGTCCTCAGCCAATGAGCTATATATTTTGATAAAAGTAATTCTAAATATTAAAGCACCTAAATACTTAATGCTCAAAGAAAAGAAAAAAAATGTCTGTAAAATGTAAATACCGAAGTCATAATTTGAATGTACTACTAAATAGCTTAAATTGTTCAAGAACTGAGAATTGAAAAACTATACTGAACTACAGCAATATGAAATACAAATGGTCAATACACAATGCAGGTTCCTAACTTGTCCTATAAAGTCAAAAGAATGGGGATTTCCTCATGCATGGCTAAAAATTAAGCAATGTGGAGAAATAAGATAAATATATGAATTTTACTTTAAGTTTGAAAACACCAACTTTAATACAAAAGAAATTATTTAAAACAGTAGAGTTCTAAAACTTTAAATTAGGTTAGCAAGATTCTCAGACCATAATCTATGTCCATCTGGAAAGTATCTATAATAGGAAAATCCTATGCTGGTAGAATTTATCACACCTATCAAATCAGAGCTCCCGTCTGACTCCATTTAATCTGTCCTTGAAACAATGGGAAACCTACAAGAAATTCACACAACTGGATAAAAGTTAATTATTGAAGTGGAAAATGAAGCCTATACTTCATATTGAAAACGTTGACTAAGTCTCTTAAAATGGGTAATTATTCACTTAAATTAAAACATTTGTGTCTAAAACACCTCTGTTTATGATGGCAGCAATGACATTTTAAAGTAAGCATTACTCATGTATTTCAGGGTTGGTTTTTTTGGTGCAGACTGAATCGAAAAGCTCTAGCATAAGCATAATACTTGCAAAGACTAACTTATGTTGAAAAAAAATCTATGTTTTCATCCTTTTGGGATTCCAGTTCTGTCCTTCAGTGAATAAATACCTATTGTCTTTTATTAAGAACCTTTTCTCCTTGAGTAATTTGCTACCATTCCAGACTGCGTAGAACTGTTGGATAAGAGGCAAAAAGGAGCAGATTAATTTAAATAATAAAAGGGAAGAGAAAAATAGCCCCCACAACTTCTACCCCCAAATTCCATTCTGAAAAAGCAGAAATGTCACACACAGGTCATCCTCTTCAAAATCCCATAAGTCTACCAGCAGTGCATGCCGCAAAGAAACAGTGTCTGATCCCTTCTGTCTCACAAACACTGTGCAACATGTGCTGCTGCACTGCATCACCTCGTATTTAATGTGGTGCCAAAGTTGGGCAAGTCCTGCTCCATTCCTTTTCCTAACTCCAGTAATGTGCACCTGCCACTTACTTTGGATCAAATCTAATGAATTGGTTCAACAAGGTAGGTCAGTTTAAAGCTAACTTGCTTAAGCACTGAATTGCTTTCTTATGTAAGATTACTCCACTGGTTTATTCTAAAGCTACAAAAGTCACTAAATCTGAGGCAAACAAGATGAAGAAAACAGGTGCAAAAGGTAACAGGAAGAAAGCAAAAGAGAAAATGAGATCACCCCTTTTAGTAACAATTTGCGGTTTCACTATGGCAGTGAAAACACAAAGCTGCTGTCTCAGGAGGCAGCTCCACAATTGCTTAAGCTCCTCCAAACTGAAGCTGTTCTTCCACTGACCCTAGTGGAAGCTCCACTAGTGGAGCTCCACTGTACTCCATTCTCTCATCTGAGCAATTTGTAATGCCACTACAGTGCTTTGTTCATGTAAGCACTGCTTGTGGTACCCTCTACCCTGGAATAAAAAGGATTTTTATTAGTGAAGAATGAAAACTTAGATGCAGGGAAGCTCGGTCTTTAGAATATTTTAAAATTCAAAAATACTCTATGTTGCATGCATATACAGATTACTAAAATGTATAGAGAGGCCATTGGGAGAAGGTCAGAAAACTGCAGGTGGAAGCACTGTAGGGTTTGGGTGGTTTTGGTTATTTTTTTTAGCAGAATGTGTTTAAATCAGAAAATACATTTTTGTAAACATAATTTGTAAACAAACATTCCATGCTTTGGTGGAAAAAGCAAAAAAGAGCTCTCATAAAGTGAGCTCTTCATAAAGATGACCTATATTAAATGCATCATATCTACGAATTTATTTTATTTCTGAATGAAAATACAGCTTTAAATCTATTTATTGCATAATGTGTACCATGTAGTTACTGTCTTTTAGACTCCTTTAAAATGGCTCAGTATTATCAAAAAGAAAATATATTTGAAATTTTGATTCAGTAACAATTCTGATTTCTTATTAGTATCACTTGTTTTACAAACTCATGCTCTCAAACTATAGACTTGCAATAAAAATTAAAAAAAAAAAAATCACAGAAGGAATCTGAGATACAGGTATCCAGAAGTTCTGCTTTGCCCATGTTTTTTGATTTCCCCTGTATCAAAGAGATCATATGTAGTACATCTTTATTCATATAGTCCACATATTTTACAGGTTTACCTATAGAAAATTAGATGCTTAGCTACTAAACAGTAAAAGTACCAGTAAATTTAAAAATATGTATTAACCAGATTAAAAAAAAAATAAAAAATTCTATTTTAAAGAGTTGCAGTGCTGCTCATATTGGAACCACTGAAGTTCACCAAGCTTCAGAGTTCTATAAATATCTAAATGAGCAGGGCATGCAAATAAAAATAATATAATAATATAGAAGGGCATAAAAAAAATAGAGAAGTGTAGAGAAAAACAGTGGAAAACATATCAATACTATATAAATCACTATTCTTAGCTATTCTTCGTTTTCTTGCATTACATTTAAAAATACTTCCTGAGAATAGGTGTCAACTCTTAGGACACATATTTAACAAATCTATTCATGGAAATCCTCCATCTGTTCTGAAATGAATGTTACTATAATTGCTTTAGATCTATATGATGACAAATGACAGACCAACTGCTGTAATGGAATTTATAATGAAATGTTCACATTTCTGGCTGACTGGGCACACTACAGTGATCTAAGGACTAACTTAAAAAGATGAAAATTCCTTAGATCTGTCTTTATCTTTCTGGCAGAATTATCTTGTTCTGTACTTGTCTGTAAATGTTTACATTCAGAAAAGTCATCTGTTGCAAGCAGTAGATGATACTGCTAAAGATACTCCACTAAAGAGTAGAGTCTCTTTCATAAATGCTTTGTCTTCTCTACAAACCTACAGATGTCTGCAGTAATAGAATACTTAATAAAAGATAATCTGCCACTAAAAGTATACTCTAACCTTAGAGTTTCTCATATAATCTGCTATTTTATTCTGTATTTCACACAACTCTATTAATTTTAAGTATCCTTACTTAATGGAATCATGAAAGCAGTCTCTGTATTAGAAAACTGTTGCCAGATCTTCAGAAGAACTCCAGTTTGGCTACATAAATGGCAAGATTTTGAGGAGTATTTAGCACTCTGTGCCTACCTTACTGGAACAAAAAGAAGCTGACCTCAACCTTTTGCTACTGAAGCGAGTATGAGGAATTCCTTTTCACAAAACAACCTTTAAAACACTGACCAATAGGTCTAAACCTTTCTAAAAGATTTAAACAGAAAAACAAAATCACAAGTACTCACTCAATTGTGAGTTGCTTCATTTTCTAATATTTTTTTAAAATATTGATAAAAATAGTATGTAAAAGAAGGGCCGGGGAGTGGAGAAGGGCTGAAAGGTATTCTTTCCTGAACTTCTGGTTTCCAAACTGAGTAGTGCCAAATAATCAGCACTATACCCATACAATCAGGATGAGAAATTAAGCCAATATTGCTGTTAAAAATCTGTTATCTGTTTTTGTTCCTTTTTCTGTTTTAAAAAATCCAAACAGAAAACCTCCTAAGGAATGTTAGTCTAGTCTGGCCCCAATGGAACCAACAGCAAAATTTCCAATAATTGGACAGAATCTCATCCAGTGTCTCAAACTCTAAAGAAATGGCCATCCTTGTCTAAGCAAAAATAAAAATGTGCCCATTCCTCAATCAACACAACTCACAGCTTACAGTTTATCACACTGGAAAATCTCACTGACTTGGAGCTGATGCACACCTGCTTTCATGCATGGTGTCTTTTGGCACAGAGAGGAGAGAGATGGGAGCAGGAGTGTTGTAAGATGCAGGCAAATTTACCTGAACTTCATATATACACCCCACAATATATAGGCTAACATTTCTTCAGAACATACAGACTAGTTTAGAACACATTAACAAGAATATATATACAGCTAAGGATAACTCCATGCCTCCATACTTGTAACTTTTACAGCTATAAGCTGTAACAAAAGCAGAATTTACTCTGATGTTATACACAATGTTCTCACACTTTCTGCTGTGAGTCTTCCAATGCAAGTCTGCTTTTCTATAACAATTTCAAATTCACAGCCTGACTACTTGTGCTCAAAAGTCAGGAACAATTTTCTTTGACTGTAATACTTGAGTTCAGTCTTTCCACTCCAGTGTCTGCTGTCCCAGCAAGCTCCATTTTAATTTATCACTTTCCAAAAAAATAATAATAAAAATAAAAATAAAAATCCCAATGAGGCTCTTTTTGAGAGGTTATTGAGCTGATCCCTCAGCTTCAAGGCAGAATTAATCATATTTAAACCATTCCTAATACATGTTTGTCTAACCCATTCTTGAATGTGACAACTAGTGGAGATTACAGTACCTCCCCAGGCATTCTCTTTTACTGATTCATTATTAAAATCCTTTAAAAGTCTTTTTGTTCTAACATAATTGTTTACTGCTGTAATTTAAGCTCATGGCTTCTTGCATTCTTCATGGCAGATCTTGAGAAAATTTACTTTCTTCACATTTTACACTTTTGAACTCTTACCAGAACAGATTTGTTTTGTACAGTCTTATCAACCCAAACTTACCTAAGAAAAAGCGCACACAATTTCAGATAAGAAAACACAGCAAGACTAATATATTTAGAAAAAAAAAAAGAGTAGATCCTATTTTGGACCTACTATCTTTATATCTATGATCATATACAGTAAAACATTTTAACAATGGTCATTTATCATGTTCCTCAAGAGAACCAATAAAATGCAATGAATACACATCCTCTGATGTTGCACAGGTACAAAATGTATAGTTTGTTTACAAACTAATATTACTGAATGTAAAATGAAGCAACATTTTAAAAAAATATATTGGTAAAGGTCCAAAGTTTACATTTTCTAAAATATTAAGGTCATGTTTTATTTACAGACCAGCGTTTGAACAATTACTGGCATTTTAAGATAACTGCTTAACCTGATGAATACATGAATAAAATGAAGCTGTAAAAAAAATCTCAACCAAATAAAAATCCCTCAATAATTGAAGTTCCATATAACAGTTCCAAAAACACTATTTTAAATTTCTATTTAGAAAAGCAAGATGTGATCTACCACACAGTAACTTATCAGAAACTGGTCTAACACTTTGATATGCTACAGGTATCACAAGTGACCAATGTTACCAGTCATGTGCCCAAGAGTGTGGTTTTTTTTCCCATTCCAACTTCATTTGAAGTTTTCACAACAGTTGTAGTATTTACAAATTTAAAATAAAGGCTCAATATACCTTTGGATTACATTGCCACTGTTATTGTGCCTTCTCTTGATGACTACAAGTAGCAGACTGCAGACCACTTATTTTGTTGACTCTGTGAGTTAACTATTGTTATCAGCATGTACCCCAGCTGGTCTTACAAAATAGACTAAGAAACTGACCAATAGTGAACACTCACCCAGGATCAATTATGACAGAACTCGCTCACTGAAGTCTCCCTCTTGATGAAGGGTGGTGTGTCAAAAGGTGGAAGCTTTTAAACTTGAACAGGACCTACGAGCTGTACGACCAGCCATGACACAAACCCCAGCTGAGCCCTGTGGGCAGGTATGTGACACCCATGCCTTCAGCTTTGGGAGCCTGGCAGTGACACCTGGTCACCTGCTGGTGCAGACACTCCTCTGCTTTCACTGTGCTAGGTTAGGTGACCAGAAAGCTGCATAATAAAAAACCATCTCAAGCTGTATTAGCTTTTACTGATTTTTACTGGGTTTGAGTAAGGAGCATGTCTCCATGCTGCACCCTTTTTCCTTTGCGGCCCAGTCCCACCTCTGGGACCCTGCATAAAAGTGAACATAAAAACAAACCAGGCAAATATTTTTGCCCACAGAAGGAATTGGTGAATGCCATGACACTTCAGCTTTGCCAGCCAGAACCCCTGTGAATAATGCCGTTTTTTCAATAATGGAAATATTTAATTAAAACTTGACACCTTTATAAAAATAGGAGGATATCTGAGGGAATGGAATAAGAAGCAATTTAATTTTGATTACCATTCTCCTTTACACTCTGTTGTTCCAACCTATCTTAAGTGGAAAAAGGAGGAATTAAAAAGCTTAGGGACTCACATGTACGCTTCTCAAAAAACTGTAGGTGTAACACCTCAGAATTATGAAAACCAAATCCTTTCTTTTCATGTTTGTGATTTCTGAGAACCCAGCATTTTCAAACATAACTCAGATTCTCACTGATTGCAATGTTTACGTCATATTCAGTATTCCATACTGGATGAAGCAAAGTATCGGCCAGTGATGATCCCTGTTTTATAGAGAACTTGATCACATTCTTGAATAAAAGCAGTTATTTAGTGCATTATACTGCTAATGAAAAACTGTTTCACATTCTAAGAATACCCATCTCTGAAATGTTTTAAAATACCTAACCAAGCGATGCTATGTATTCCTATGTAACATTCAAATCCTCTAAAAATATGCTTTCTTGAAAAGATTCTCAGTCTAAATGTATATCAACAACAGATTTTGTTCCATTTAATTTCTTATATTATTTCTGATAAAGTTCCAGCTTTAGTTTCTAACTACAGGCTATAGTTTCTAATTGCTGCTCTGCTTCAGCAGCCATGGCTGCTGCCTGCAACTGTTCTGTTTCACTCTGGATGGAATTGGCTGCTGTAACTTGCTTTCTTTCACTGTGCATATTGTTCTCATGCCGTTTTAGGTCAGATGCCTTAGCAAATGCTTTAGTGCAGGAACTGCAGACAAAAGGTTTCTCTCCTCGATGCCTTCTTTCATGGTCTTTGAGGTGGGACTTGTGCTTGAAAGCTTTATCACACATATGGCATGCAAATGGCCTCTCATTACTGTGAACTCTTTCATGCTTTTTTAGATCTGGTGCACGAATGAAAGACTTCCCACACACCTCACAACTGTAAGGCTTGTAACCTGTGTGTATTTTCAAGTGTTCTTTCAAATGAGCTTGCGTGGTGAAGCCCTTTGTACACATTTCACAAACAAATGGTCTGTCTGCAGTGTGTAGCTTTTCATGTTTTCTCAAACGCGCTTCATCAGAAAAGGTCTTGCCACAAGCCTGACATACAATGTGTTCCCTGTGGCCATAAAGCAAGTACTCAAACTTCATATCCCCGGCTGCTGTGGTCCATCCTGGTGTCTGTTCATCTTTCACTTCACTTATGCCATCATTAAATGTGAGTGCCTGAGGGGTCTGAGATCCTAAGTCTTTCGATTCCGTTGTTTCCATAGGCTCTACTTCTTGGCCATAGCAGTTTACTTTTCGAACTTCTTCACTTCCCAACTCTTTCAGAATTGCCTCTTGCACTCTCAGGGTAGTGGTTGGTGACTTACCATCTTCCTGACTTGGGGGAGTGCCTTCCACCGTCACATCTGATGGACTGTCATCATGATCTCCAATCTCTTCCACCTCATCATCCTGGGTATCATTGGGTTCCCCCATAGAACGGTTCATTTTCAGGCAGTACTTGCTCTTGGACTGTGTGTTTTCCTCAGGACTAGACACATCACGTTTTTGAGAGCAGAGTTTATCGAGAAACCGAATACCGAGGATCTGGCCTGAAGACATCATCAAGTTTACATCCTCCTTTTTAACAGAAATCTTTGCAGTATACATGTAATTGAGAACTTCCTCAAAAATATCAGAACGAAGAAAATCTATTTCTATTACTGATGAACTATCAACTTCAAGCTTTTTGAAAAGCTTTTTGAAGTAGGTACTGCAGGCAGCAAGCACGCACCTATGGGCTCTGAACTTAACATCTTCAACCACAATAGCGATGTCACAAAATTCTCCTTCCAAACGTTGTTCATTCAATGTTTTCAGGAACACAGTTTTGTGATCGTCGTCATTATATTTAATGGTTTCAGACATACTGATGAAAAACTCCTGTAAATTAACAGGAAAATTTTGTGACTTTTATAAAGCAGTCTAAATCACAAAACCCCAAGAAATGACGTAATTTCCATCATTAAAAAAAAAACAAAACTTTTTTTTGCATAAAATAACCACAAAAAGCTTGTTAGACTCTAAAAGCATTACTCTGAAACTGATTTTAAAATTGTGAATTCATAAAGCTCTTTTCTTAGGCAATAAAATTTACAGTTATTCAAAACTTTATTGGTTCATTTACACAAAATTGAAAACTTTCTCTTTAAAACTGCAATTCTCAGTAAATGTATGACCAACTCATAAGTCATTATTATAACTAAAGTTATATATAGTTAATATGGTAACACTAAAGAATGTGTAAGAAATACTCTAAATGAGTCAACACAACAAACAAAATTTGAAATATCAAATATAAACCTTACCATGAACAATGCAGGAAGTTTTCTAAGCAAATGATTATTAAATTAATCTCAGAACGGGCCACCTTCAGCCTGAAAGATGGGAAGATAATAACATTTCAAGAAATTATAAGATCTATTCCAAAAATTATTTTAAATTTGAGTGTTAAAAGACAGCATTTTCAACTATTTAAAGTTAGATAAAATACACTGCTAAAATACCCATTTATTTTTTCAGAGATACTACAGACAACTATAGAGGATAACTCCACGTGTTTACTTTCCTATGGCTACTGCACTTCCCTGGTTCTACCTTCCTGATATGTAACTTTGCACTAAATCTAAGGGTCTGAAAATCCTCCCCAGGAATCGCCACAATTAATGAAGTAACCAACCCATCAAGAAGGTGATCAGTCTTCTGCTGAACCAGAATGCTGAGCAAGCCTAGCAGAGGGATGCAAGCAGACCAAGCATCCCAAAGGACAGCAGACCAGGGACAGGGATGAATGTGCATCCAGGACCAGGGAAAGAGACAAGTGTACCAGATTTCCAAACTATGGAGATACCAGAAAACAGAAGGATAATGCAAGACACAATTTGAAATCATTCAATCCCAACAGACATCGAATTGTGCCAAAGCAGGAAACGCAGCAGAGAGGAGGGAAATTTAATACGTGGTCTGGAATAAATCTTGTACCACCTAGCACAGATCTCCTGGGAATTTTTTCCTTAAATTCTAATTTATCCTTATCCATATATGAAACAGAAGCAGGTGACAGGTGTAATGAGAGGTTTGCAACTCCTGGTGATGTGTATTTCACACAGCATGGGAACACCTGGCTCCCTACATATGCATCTGCAGATCTGGCACATCTGCTAAAGTGACCCCGGCTACACAGAAAAACTACTAAAAAAACCCCAAAAAGCCAAATTAAATTATTTTCTTAGTTCTAAATAATCACATTTTAAGATAGCCAGATAATAAGAATGTAAATATTTGAAATATACAAAAGGAAACAAAACCAGAAAGCAATATTGTATATATGTATGGGCTGCCAGGGTCTGCTGGCCCAGGAAAATGTATTCTTACAGCATTGAAGATGGTAGGACAAACAACTGTTTCAACGGGATCTTTTCAGAGTTCTTTGCAAGATGGAAAAATGGCTTTCTTTGTAAGCAAGCAGCAAAATGTCACTGGTAATAATCTAGCAGCAATTGCACCGTCCTGTTAAGCAGTATGCAATTTTGCTGCAATTCTGTCGACACTAACAGAGAAATAATTAGAGAAAGAATTGGCTGAAAAGAGGGCTGCGGAGTACACAGTGGTGTGTAACTGGCAAGAACAAAGTTAGTCCTTGCGAACGGAGAAGGACAGGCACTTGCCCAGAGCGTTTCCAGCTCTGACTAAAAGAAGCTCTGGTTACTTATTCCACTGGGCAATTCAGATTTATTCCTCCACACACTTTTTCCACGGCCGCTACCTCCGCAAGGGCCGCGGGGAGGTGTGTTCGGGGCTCTCAGGGACTGCTCGGGACGCGCTCGGTGCCTCCCCGCGCCTGCTCTCGCCGTGCCCGTGACGGCGGAGGCGCACGCCCGCTCCACGCAC